TCTGTTTTGGTTATAACACCAACTAGACATGACATTAAAGTGTTATATCAGTAAGTTCTTCCGTATGACAAATATCCACAACATCTGATATAAGAGTAGAGTGGAATCCTCGTTATTGGGTGAATTGATTCAGGAATTGATGCTGAAGAAAATAAAAGCGATAAACTAAGGATATACTTTTTTATGAGAGATAATATTCTTAGAGTAATTATGACCTTCACAAACACCAGTTGATCCTTCTGTTTGTTTTCTTCTAGATATTATATGCTTTCTCGTAGTTTGTATATGTTTAAATTTAATGTCAAATCTTGCATACATTCGTACTCTTTAATCAACACCAAGACATGTTCAAGAATAGATAAATTAAGCTATTATGATGTTTTGAATATAATCTCAACATGATCCAGTAACCAAAACATTTTCATTCGGTTAAATAAAAGAGAAATAAAAAGATTCTTTATGACATTAAATAAATATAGAAGTTTATTTTGTTTCTAATACGACATAAAGATAGACTAATTTTATTCCAAAAATCAAAACATGTCTTTACTGTTGTTTTGGAAGACTTAAAATGCAATATTTCTGTTTCATGACATGTGTTAGACTTAATGTGAAAGGGCCATGTCTCTTATTGTCCGAGATATTTGGACATCTAACATATTTGTTATGCTACCAAAAATGCATAGTCTTATATTGTATTTTCCATTTTCATTCCATCTCTGGCTTGTTATGATTGGATCTGAAAACAGACCGTAAGTAATCATTTCTTTATCATAGACCATGATAATATGATTCTGCTAATTCATTTGTTTCAGTTCTTCCTTTAATTTCTGTTTTGGTTATAACACCAACTAGACATGACATTAAAGTGTTATATCAGTAAGTTCTTCCGTATGACAAATATCCACAACATCTGATATAAGAGTAGAGTGGAATCCTCGTTATTGGGTGAATTGATTCAGGAATTGATGCTGAAGAAAATAAAAGCGATAAACTAAGGATAACCTTTTTATGAGAGATAATATTTCTTAGAGTAATTATGACCTTCAGTTCCTTCTGTTTGTTTTCTTTAATATTATATGCTGTTTTGGTTATAACACCAACTAGACATGACATTAAAGTGTTATATCAGTTTTCTTCCGAAAATAAAAGCATATTATAAATATCCACATCTGATATAAGATGTAAATCCTCGTTATTGGGTGAATTGATTCAGGAATTGAAGCTGAAGAAAATAAAAGCGATAAACTAAGGATAACCTTTTTATGAGAGATAATATTTCTTAGAGTAATTATGACCTGCACAAACACCAGTTGATTCTTCTGTTTGTTTTCTTCTAGATATTATATGCTTTCTCGTCGTTTGTATATGTTTAAATTTAATGTCAAATCTTGCATACATTCGTACTCTTTAATCAACACCAAGACATGTTCAAGAATAGATAAATTAAGCTATTATGATGTTTTGAATATAATCTCAACATGATCCAGTAACCAAAACATTTTCATTCGGTTAAATAAAAGAGAAATAAAAAGATTCTTTATGACATTAAATAAATATAGAAGTTTATTTTGTTTCTAATACGACATAAAGATAGACTAATTTTATTCCAAAAATCAAAACATGTCTTTACTGTTGTTTTGGAAGACTTAAAATGCAATATTTCTGTTTCATGACATGTGTTAGACTTAATGTGAAAGGGCCATGTCTCTTATTGTCCGAGATATTTGGACATCTAACATATTTGTTATGCTACCAAAAATGCATAGTCTTATATTGTATTTTCCATTTTCATTCCATCTCTGGCTTGTTATGATTGGATCTGAAAACAGCGAGTAAGTAATCATTTCCTTATCATAGACCATGATAATATGATTCTGCTAATTCATTTGTTTCAGTTCTTCCTTTAATTTCTGTTTTGGTTATAACACCAACTAGACATGACATTAAAGTGTTATATCAGTAAGTTCTTCCGTATGACAAATATCCATAACATCTGATATAAGAGTAGCGTGGAATCCTCGTTATTGGGTGAATTGATTCAGGAATTGAAGCTGAAGAAAATAAAAGCGATAAACTAAGGATGTACTTTTTTTATGAGAGATAATATTTCTTAGAGTAATTATGACCTTCACAAACACCAGTTGATCCTTCTGTTTGTTTTCTTCTAGATATTATATGCTTTCTCGTAGTTTGTATATGTTTAAATTTAATGTCAAATCTTGCATACATTCGTACTCTTTAATCAACACCAAGACATGTTCAAGAATAGATAAATTAAGCTATTATGATGTTTTGAATATAATCTCAACATGATCCAGTAACCAAAACATTTTCATTCGGTTAAATAAAAGAGAAATAAAAAGATTCTTTATGACATTAAATAAATATAGAAGTTTATTTTGTTTCTAATACGACATAAAGATAGACTAATTTTATTCCAAAAATCAAAACATGTCTTTACTGTTGTTTTGGAAGACTTAAAATGCAATATTTCTGTTTCATGACATGTGTTAGACTTAATGTGAAAGGGCCATGTCTCTTATTGTCCGAGATATTTGGACATCTAACATATTTGTTATGCTACCAAAAATGCATAGTCTTATATTGTATTTTCCATTTTCATTCCATCTCTGGCTTGTTATGATTGGATCTGAAAACAGACCGTAAGTAATCATTTCCTTATCATAGACCATGATAATATGATTCTGCTAATTCATTTGTTTCAGTTCTTCCTTTAATTTCTGTTTTGGTTATAACACCAACTAGACATGACATTAAAGTGTTATATCAGTAAGTTCTTCCGTATGACAAATATCCACAACATCTGATATAAGAGTAGAGTGGAATCCTCGTTATTGGGTGAATTGATTCAGGAATTGATGCTGAAGAAAATAAAAGCGATAAACTAAGGATAACCTTTTTTTGAGAGATAATATTCTAAGAGTAATTATGACCTGCACAAACACCAGTTGATTCTTCTGTTTGTTTTCTTCTAGATATTATATGCTTTCTCGTAGTTTGTATATGTTTAAATTTAATGTCAAATCTTGCATACATTCGTACTCTTTAATCAACACCAAGACATGTTCAAGAATAGATAAATTAAGCTATTATGATGTTTTGAATATAATCTCAACATGATCCAGTAACCAAAACATTTTCATTCGGTTAAATAAAAGAGAAATAAAAAGATTCTTTATGACATTAAATAAATATAGAAGTTTATTTTGTTTCTAATACGACATAAAGATAGACTAATTTTATTCCAAAAATCAAAACATGTCTTTACTTTTGTTTTGGAAGACTTAAAATGCAATATTTCTGTTTCATGACATGTGTTAGACTTAATGTGAAAGGGCCATGTCTCTTATTGTCCGAGATATTTGAACATCTAACATATTTGCCATGCTACCAAAAATGCATAGTATAATATTGAATTGTGTTTTCCATTTTCATTCCATCTCTGGCTTGTTATGATTGGATCTGAAAACAGACTGTAAGTAATCATTTCCTTATCATAGACCATGATAATATGAATGTGCTAAGTCATTTGTTTCAGTTCAGCCTTTAATTTAATAACACCAACTAGACATGACATTAAAGATTGGATCGGGAAACAGTAGTTCGAAAAGGTTAATTGATTTTGATTTATTATGACTTGACTTATTGTACATTTATCAACATTAGCACACTGTTAAAGGAGTAAGCTTATGAACATAAAATTTATATATTTACATATGTAGTAGTAATCAGGGGAAAGGGAATGGGGAAAGAGGGCGGTTTGGTGTTTGAAGAAAACCCATTTGGCAATGGATGGCTTTTAATAAATACAGAAATTAAAAAAAGATATATGTACATGTCAACTTTACGGGAACACGGATGAAGTTATTGCTTAAATGTCTTGTATTACTGATCATTTACTTCAACCCTTCTTATGTTAAGTCTGTGATTATAATGGTGTTACATTTCCTAGTCTTAAGCTTTTAATAGATGTTTCACAAAACCTATCTTGAAAATACTACGTTATGAATGTAGCGCAGAATGTGTTGACATTAACTGCAACTTAAATAAAAGCTTTCGACAGAATTAACATGCACAGGTTTTCTTTTTGTCCGAAATAATCAAATTAATATTGAAAGTCTTGAAGGCATTGAAGGACATCTGACTACTTTGTTCGGGTTCGCCTTTGTGCTTTTTTGGGAACCGCGGAGACCCCGGCCCCCAGGGCCCTATGGTTGGGACAATAAACGCTTGAATGATAACGAAAATATACTCGCTTTTACCTACACGTATGGGGTTCGATTCCCGACGCGAACATGAAAAGATGATGTCACCTTGCCGACCACGTACATTTCCCACCTGATTCTCCGATTTCCTCCCACAGTAAGACCTCTTACGTACTTCCATCTAGATCATTGGGAGCTTAAGTTAACACTAGCGATAACTTTAACAGCCTTTTAAGAATTACAAAATCTCAATACTTTACAGAACCACAACATACGTACTTTTACACTCTGTCCAGTAACGATTGCCGTCCTGTCTTCCTCCGGGCGATGAAACGAATCAACGAGCTCGAAATAATTATCCTTTCGAGCAAAGGATGAAAACACATATGGGAATTTAATTTCGCCTTTTTGATTCACAAAGAAAACATAACGAAATGACTTAAACCAGCTATTAGTATCCTTATTGATATACATTTCAACGACCTAGGATTGTCAGCTACATATATCATTACATAATACATTGGTGTTCAATAATGATGACGATATCAATAAAATGAGTGATGTGTACGCCGAAAATCAGGATGAAGCTTTTATTGATTGACAGAACAATGTTATTTTTACATTAAGAATTTATTTTTCAATACAACTTGTGATCTGATTCCAAACCTAGCACCGTGTCTTGAAACATTTTTACATATATAGCAAAATTTGTTTTGTTGTTGTTAAGGTATTGACTTTGAGATAACGGTGATATGGTGCATTATTTCTTTTCTCTCTCAATTTAGTTAAACGGCATTTTAATCAGTATCTAGCGTTATACGACGGACTCACGGAAAAATATCGACACATACGCGTGGTATTCACTGGCGCTGAAGGCGCCGGGAAAACTACCGTATGTCGTCGTCTCCAGAAAGAACCTGTCAACCTCGAGTCGAGAGAACCAACTGTAGGGGCTGTGTTACGTCCTGATTGTTTCTCAGTCAACTTGAATTCAAGAACATGGAAGCATGAAGGTAGTCGGTCACCAAATGATGTAGTGAGGACTCGTTTGGGAGCTGTGGTGAGAAACCAGGAAGCAAGGACTAGTTTGAGAAATGGTAATTTACAGTAGGTTTAGAGTGGTAAAGGTAATTAGCTCCAATCTTTTAACATAACTAAGCCACACTCATTTGTTGGCGTTGATCGGAGATCCGCCTGCAAAACGATTTAGCATATTGTAGCTACTAACACTGCTGATGTTAAACTTGAAGACATAATATTAATCAAGAACATATGTAATATGATCAGTCCGCAAGTATCCCGTACCATCAAAAAATATTAAATTGAAGAAAGACATATTATATGTCTTGATTTTGATTTTGAAATATGAATCGTATAGTTTCTGACCAGAGCAGACCTTTGTACACTATCTGCTTCAAATGCGGGTTCATAAAGGGAACATCAATATTCTCCATTACATTTCACATGATATTACTCTGATCAGCTGGTTGAATAAAATGTTCGAGATCTTTTGAAAAGTTTACGTTATCAGTTCTGTGATAAAACGCAAAATAGTAATTCCAAACTTGGAGTGTTAATTACCTCCCAACGTCGACAGCTTAAGAAAGAAGCAAATGTTCACCTGTACGTATTTATTATTTTTAGGAATATATAAATTCCACGAGATTAATGAATACTTTGTTATCATCATCTGAATAGATAAAAGTTATCCGTTTTAATAAAAGAAAGGGTCGTAATTAATACGAGAGACGTCCCTCTCAATAAGGTGTATGTGTACTTCTGAATGGACTAAGAAACACCGATACTTAAGTATTTTTCTTCCTTTTCTCAGATTTATATTGTATCATTTTGCACTAAATATGCCTTACTTCGTGGAGAAAATAACAAAGTTAGTTGAGTGTCGATGCTTTAACCCAGATACCTCTGAGGAAATGTAAAACAGGTGACACTAGATCATCTCTTTGAATTAAATATTTACAGCAAAATAAGCACAAGTAAGACCATTTCAAATTTTCGTAAAATGTTGTAAATCAATAAATTAATTTACATATAATACAGTTGGTTAAGCATACAATAAGAACTGAGAGCATTTCTTAAAATAACCACACAGGTGTGTAATTCACCATAAAATTTTGCTTTTCTTTTCTTATCCTTTCCGTACTTCGCAATTATTTGTTCAGTAATCAAAAGGCTTTGTATATAATCACAATGTCAGTTGTCGAGAAAATTAAAGTTAAAAAGGAATGGCTCAAACGGTTTTAGAAATGATGAATTTAAAACCAAAGAACGCTGAACATATGTCTTGTACGTTTAAACGGAGTACTTAAGATTGACATGTTGTTCAAATGCTCCGAATTTGCAACTGCGATGCCTACATGTGCTCAGACCACATTTGTAAAAACGATTACTGCTAAGTAATTTACTTTATTAGTGGCCGGAAGCAGCACAGGAATTCGAGAGCATTTATCATCACTATCAAAGGAACAAATGAAAGAGGCAATAGCAGTCTTACGGGCTTCACGATATGCTGACACTGACTTAGCGTTTCTCTCCCTGTGGGATATGGGTGGACACATGTCGTTCCAGGCTTCCCACAATGTTTTTATTTCGTCACATGGCGTGTATTTACTAGTCTTCAGATTGACAGATTTTCTCAGAAATAAGCTGGAAACGGGTAAGTGACTGAAAGGTGATTGTATACAACATGTATTAGTACAGGCCTGAATCATTTAACAAAACTACTTTATTGATACTGAATCGTCAAAAACCAGCAAATTCGCGGCTAGCAAATAAATCAACCCCCAACTGAGTGAAAAGGCCGTTTGATTAGCGGCTTAAAATATTAACCAAAGTTACCTAAGTTGGTCATCTACAGAACAATCATCCTACTAGTGACCCCAACAAAAAGAGCCTCGTATCTATTTATTACAAATCGACAATGTATTATAGAATTATTTATGTTCTCTGCTCTCGTGCTGTCTTTTTGTATCCTAGTTTTTCTGATTTAACATAAGAATATACAAGGGAGAATTCTGCTGAAGATCTATATTATATTTCTTTATTTATTTAATATATTTATATAAAAATGCGCGTGTTATTTTAATAATAGATTTTGAAACTTCTTATGATCTTTAAAATGTACCGTCAAAGCTTTACTTGGCAAAGACTATTTCGTAATCTTATCCTCATTTAATGATAAATGTTTTTTTCTGTTTTATATGGCCATATTTCTGTTTTCCACTTTTGTATGCTGCCGAACTAGCTCGTGTATATATTAAGTATTTATGTAGTTTGCAGATTATGTATGTGTATGTATGCTAAAGAGGTCTGAGGGATATTGTTGAATGGCCAGTCAGCATCTTCCTCGGAGAATGCTTCTCTTCTATCTTCGAGAGGCTAGCTAAGATATTTAGTTTCTTTCGTATTATTGAGATCCTTGCTAGTCACAAAATGGTCCAGCATTTATTTGCTTTGCGGTATCTAGGTCACCTCAGAGTCTGATTCTCATTTGAAAAGAATGTACTATTAAGAACGTGTAATTATTTTTAATAGAGCAGCACTTTCTACGCCAAACCTGTAGCTTTGATATATAACTGTGGTATGATAAACAGAGTCAAACTATACCTGCGTGTTTCGTTGTATAGTTACTGATATACATTCACGGTTTTACTTGAGAAACCGTCTCCGTCTCCTTTTTCCATCATATCTGTTCACTATATGTTCAAAATTACCACCATTTTCGTAGATTATGTTGTCTACTTTTGTTTGTTACTATTACGTGCAGATTATTGTTCCATTATCCGTCATTTATTTACTTTTTATACAGTCCGCCTGAAAAAATGGATCAGAATCATTGGCACGTTTTCTTCGTGTCAACTGAATGCACCACAAACGAGAACGTATGCTCCACCGATAATTTTCGTCGGTACATTTTTGGATAAATTGAAGGAAAACGAGGTATGTGATAAAAATATCAGTATATATCTGCTCTACTAAAACTCATTTGTTTTAGATAATTTTGTCGTTTGTTGTTTTTATGATGATGTTTAATTTGCGGTGCAAATCCTTATTCATATCTCTTTTCTGTAAGAAACGTTTGAGTGTTAACGTTCTCCACCATGACCAATCTTGATCCACAATGTGTCATTCAAAATAACCTTGATATTTTTCATTTCTGTTTGAAAAAAATGCCATTGTTAAATAACAATTGTCAATAATGGTGAAGTCACCAGACATGAATATTTTGAAAGTTACGTGTGTCGTACATTTTTCATTCTAGGACCACGACAAACAGATAGATATGATACGGTCAAGTATCTCAAAATTCCCTGAACTCTCAGTGCACCGATTTGTCAAGTTCTGTACAGTCGACAACAGCCTCGGCGATGAAGATAATGACCTAGAAATGTTAAGAGGTCTTATCACAGAGGCAGCTGTTCATCAGGATCAGTGGGACAGACAACTCCCTACAACGTGGTTAAAACTCGAGATGGACCTACATCAATTAAGAGAAAAAGGAAAAAGAATACTCACAATCGAAGAGATTATCGAGATGAACAAATCATCTCCAGCGCCATTGACCGATGTTAATGAGATCAAACTTGCCCTTGAGTAAGTATGTGTGAACCAATAATCAATAGATATATAAAACCTGCTTCCAATAATTGATGCTGAGAGCCAACATTCCTTTAAACAATCTTACGTTATCAAAGTTGTATACTGCATTATCCATTTATCGAATCTATGAAACAAATCTTATCCCATCAAGGCACGAATATATTGTAATCTAACTGTTAAACGCTGAATGCTTGATGTCTGAGATACAGGTAAGTACTGAAGATACTATTGTGTTAACTGTACTATAATTACTCGTCTCCTTTGGGTTATAACACACAAAAATAATAATTCTCGTAATAGAGAGCTCGAGTTGTTTCACTATAACTTTACCTTAGTCTCAGTAGGACATTGAGACTTCTTAATCACAAAACCCTATAGACCGGAGGGTATTTTGTATATAATTATCAAAGTTCATTCTTTGAACTGAAATCTGATATTGTGTCATTTTATACAATCATTCTAAGTAAGGTGATTCTGGGTTATACCTTAGCAATAATGACTGATAAAAAATATTTACACAAATGTCATGGAATGTTATAACTTAAATTCGTTCTCGTCGCATTAATGCAAATCGACCACACTTTTTGAGTACTTTGGTGGCATCCCCTGATTATGATACTGAATGAATTGTGATACAGTATTGTCCACAATTGTTGACAATACGGTTAGATGTGTTTTTTGTGCCTAGTGGTGATACTGTGTGATATTTGTCTGGTAGTGATACTGTCTGAGACGTGGCTCACACCTCACAGAGCAGCATCACCAAGCACGTCATACAGAATTATCATCAAGCACAGCTAACATGGTATCATCAACATGGTACCAGACAAATATCACATAGTATCACCACTAGGCACAAACACACATCTAACCACATCATCAACAATTGTGGACAATACTGTATCACAATCCATTCACTATCATAATCAGGAGATGCTATCAATGTACTTACACCAGGCACAGCTCAAACAGAATCATAACAAGGCAAAGCTCAGACGGTATCTTCAACAAGGACCGCTTACCCAGCATCACGACCATGCACAAATTACAGAGTGCGCAGCTCATACAGCACCAAGCATATCTCACACAGTATCCTTACCAGGCATGTCTCACACAGTATCAACACCAGGTAGGCCTTACAGGGTATGTTACCAGACACAGATCACACAGCATTATTATCAGGCACAGTTCACAGTATCATCGTCAGTAACAACTCACTCAGCATCGCATTGTGCACAGGTCATACAGCACTATCGCCAGGTACACCACCTCACACTCTATCATCACCAGACACAGTTCACACAGTATTACTCCCAGGCACAACTCACACAGCATCATCACTAAGTATAGCTCACAGTATCATTACCAGGAACAGCTCACAATCATCGCCATCGGGCACAGCTCATACAATATTATCACCAAGAAAAAAGTTAAGCTAGATAGTTATATGATATTCATAAAAAAACAAACAACAGTCAAAATTTGCTGTGCTTAAAAATAGGAAATCAACTTGATATTGCTCGATGTCGTCTTCATTCAGTACCTTCACTGCATCAGATCATTGGTTAATTTTGGGGTAAATTAATGCATTTCTTTTAGATATCTTCACTGCACGAGGTCAGTAATATATTTTCGGGAGTTTGACCACGTCATCAACGACCCCCAGTGGCTTGTCGATTTCTTCAGTATCCTGATTACCGATGACCAATTTCTCACTGAAGGCGACCTCTTAATGGCCAGGGACCAGGAACTGTACAAAACAAAGGGCGAGTTGACACAGGAACTGATTGAAGGCCTCTTACGTCTGGAGAAGAACCAAGATTTCATTCCACATAAATCCATTCTTCTGGCGCTGATGGAAAAATTTGGATTGATAGTAAAAATGCAGTTGTCAGGATCCGAATCTGAACATCGACGGTTCAGTGAGAAGTATACAATCCCCAGCAAACTTATGGAACTGCAGAACATCGATGTAATAACAAGAGAGGTCACCCGCCTAAAGAGAAGGTTCTTTGTTTCTAAGGCGTTATGCTTAGTATTCAACGATGTTTATGTACCTGATGAGTTGTTTCACAGAATCTTCGCCGAGATCCTCAGGACGTACACATCGACATCTTTGTCAACACAAAGCCTCGAAATAACGACTGAAATGGATCAGATGAGACCAGGAAGCGGTAACGCGTGTCTTTATAGAGGTTTCGGTTGTTTCGAGATCAACGACCTCTGCGGAATTATTCTGTCTATGCAGCCTGAGAGGTCCACCATTGCCGTGACAATATTCAGCCGAACGGAAACCGTTCTTCCCGAAGGATGCGGCAAACTTGTCAAGGTCTCGATCGAAAGGATTCTTCGTGACGCTTTAGAAATGAGTAACCAGCAACACTTTCAGCATACATACAAACTACACTGCAACTTCTTCCTGGGTCCATATGACACCCCTGTAGATCTGTTCGGCGTCATCCACTCAGAGAGGGGCGTTCCATGTAAAGGGGTAGAGTGTCTAGGGCAACACCTTCTGTCAAGAATAGACGCCAAATTTTGGGATATCACACAGGTATAAAACTTATTATTTAGTATTAACACGTCAGCGATCAAATCTTAATTACAGTTCCCTGTTGTATTGTTTTTATCTTTTTGTCTTACTTATGGACATGACTTCGTGATGGAGTGTTTCAGATAAAGAACCAATGCACCTGCATTAAAATTCTGGGTTTTATTACATCAAAACCTGTTATATTGTAGTAATTATATATATATTATTTGTGTTCATTGTGGATTGACTACGCGACATATTTGAGACATGCTTTCAATTTGTTTGTTTTCCTGCAAGAACACAATACGATATAGTCTACACATTTTTGCAACATTTCGGCCACACACTATCCACTACAACAAACTTCTGAAATGTATATACACGCAGTAAATTATCCATTAACGTTTGTTTTAGGATTCCGTACGAGTTCCAGTGCATAGATCGATAAGTGGTATGTATATATATATCTATAAATATGTATATAGCTACTAAACCATTACTGAAAGCGCTTAAGCTTCATGAAAACTACGTTTTTTGTGGATTTATTTTCAATATATCGAACCAGACGAATTGAGCAATCAGCATTTTCATATATTGTATATGTCTACATACAAACGATTATATTAATTCATTAACATGTCAGTTTAATGGCTCAACAATATTGCAAAACCTGTTAATTTTCGTCCTTGTTTATTTTACCATGTGCTGAATTATCTCTAAATTACCCTAAAAAGATTATTTATTAAAATCGTCATATTTTGGCCTTTATTTCAAGTTGAATAAATTATATTATGGTTATATTTCAGAACCGGCAAATGAGGACACAACGTTTCCTGACAGAAGGCCAACGCCGCGGGAACTTGGTCGTCTGTCCCGTCTAGTAAGCGCCTCGTCATATCAGCTGTTGTTTACAGAGCTTGGTGTTCCTATACCAGACATCGATTACGCTAAGAATGATTTGTTAAGCTTATCGACAGTAACTCTGATCACCAAACTGTTTCTGAATTGGTCCAATGCCTACCCGAATCAGACGTTTCAACACATCACACAGGCTATGAAGAACGTTGGCATGGCAACTGACCGCGTTGTTGAAATGGTCGAAACGGAAGCGGAACCACCAGGTGAAGGTACGGAGAAAATTACATCATTTTCATAGTACACCTGTACTTCCCTTTGATTTTAGACTGTTTTTTTTAGACTTCCAGTTTACGTATAGTTGATTCCGTCTTAGATTAGGTTATAATGGTTCGATTCAGACACTATCACAATGATTTTAACAGCTAACCCATTATAGTTTAGTCACGTTTGTTGTTGTCATGAGAAGTAGATATCTGCAAATAATGCAAATGTAGAACGGACCTTTTGGTAAGAAAATGTAGAACCATATTTATTGAATTCTAAATCTTTTAGATATAAGTATCCTTATATGCTTAATTGTAAAACCATCTGATTCAATCATACATAGCATTAACTAAGAAAATTGATCAAATTTGATGCCCTTTCCATTGACGATATCAATGAATAACGATAAAAATTTCCTGAAATATAACCTGATGTCAACACGCGTAAAGAGATAAGCCAAAACGTGGTATTTTCCATTAGGAATAATAATAATAATGTGATCATTTCCCGTTCCAAAAAAAGAACTGTTAGATCTTGGATTCAGAAGGTCAATATTGTGATAAAGCATTCCCAGCCCCCTCCTTCCATGAAAAATATTCCACCTGAGTTCGAGGAAGACTTACTCTCACTTTGCCCAGCATTTATGGCAGACATGAAGATATCTATATTTTGAAGGGTAGCGAAACATCAGAACATGAAAACTTATTTGAGAAACTATGTTTTCATAAGCCCACATCTCTTATTAAGATATGTAAAGAGATATTTTATTACCGGTGCTGGTTTTGTGGTTTTAATGATTTAGAAGATTTTATGTTATAGCTAAATATTACGCAATAGTTCCTGACTCCTTTTTTTATTTTTTCGTGTCATTATTTTCTTTGTTTTATATAGTACCATCAGAGGTTTTGGGTAGATCTCCAACTGATTCAGAAATCCAACAAATCATCAACTACATCGATATATCGTTCTACAACCTCTACTTAGAGATCGGATTATCACCTCCAATCATAGAGCAGCAAATGGTAAACTATCACCAAAACATCAGAGGAGTGTTGACAGCTCTTCTTCACTGTTGGAGAGATACTTTCCAAGAGGAGGCAACTATAGGCAGATTGTTGACAGCGATGAAAATGTGTGGGATGGACTGGTATACAACAGCAAAGATCTGGCCAAGATGTCAGGGAGAAGTTGTTACTAGACCAAAAAAAGAAAAATGAAGAAAAACGTAAATGTTCAGTCATGTGACATGATATACTGAAAAAAACAAAACACATCAGTACGGATCAACACGAGTACTCTACTCAATGTTATAAGTTAATCGATGAATCAAATCCAGGGAACATTTCTAATTATAGTTATTACCGTACGGCCTGTGGACTATTATCTGTGTTTTATTGTAAACATTAGGCGAATTTCTCGAAAGGTAAAACTCTTAACTCCACTGAAAGTAAAACAGAATATATGTTGTGAAAAGATATGGCTTGGAGTGAGAAGGTTGATAAAGTTCCATACATATTGTTTTATCACTAATATCAAAACAATCGACCAGAAATTTTTAACATTTTTGTTATATTTGTCACATGTTGTAGTTTTTACTTTTTTTACATAACAGTTTATTGATACATAACTTTTCTATTCTCGTGGTGACGAGAGTCCGAAACATTATCATTGTATACCTACATTTAGATACTTGTTGGGATTCACATTAATGTACTGTTACATGTAGAATCCCTACCTGTACAATGGAGTGGTATCTAAACAGAGAACAGTAGATAATTGGGATCATAGCGGTTGGTGAAATCATATCGGAGTTTGTAAATATTTCGTTTGTTCATATTTTGCCCTAGTTTCATTGAATTTGAGCTTGCATTATATTTATGTTCACATGTTGGTATTTTTTCATTTATCTGTTTACACCAGTGATGAGACAAAGTGTAGATCTATTTACGGTAGAAATCCAAAAAGAAAAAAGTACATGATTACTGGTATAGGTATATCAATCTCGGTTATGATACCAGGTCTTCGGAAATTCTGATTGCCAAAAATTTACGAAAATGATATAAAATATATTTATTTCTTATATTTTGTCGAAAATTAATCAACAACTGGCTAAAGTTTTGTAAGCTTGAGGAACAAATCACAGGATAGAGTTTTTATTTCGAATACTATCACATGATTAATGCATTTGTTGGTTGTTAACATGAACCAGATCCCTTCGCTGTGAAGTTTAATGTATAATCAACTTCTTGAGTTCGCCATATCAGGACGATATGCAGATGAATACTTCATTTGCTGGACCGCATTATTCATTAATCAAATATATTTTTATACGTGCAGGAATTGTGAAACAAATTTTTCTTTTATTTTCTACAGTACAAAATATGTATAAAATAATATATTGTAAATTAATATGTTTATAATTCCCTTGACATCCATTCTGCTTTGTGTTTGTCTATCTGGCTTTCATGAGATTTGAACCGAATTCAATTTATTGTTTTATATCAAAACAATTATTGGATTAGAAGGCGTTGTTCAAAATTATCTGACATGAAAATTACAAAATTTATCAAATGATGGAGCTAGTGCACCTCCCTGTCTAGATTTTGACTTTTCTTTCGATCACTTTGAATGTTCCTTAGTCGCCTCCTAGATTTCAACATTTATACCCTTAGCATCACTGCCGAGTTCCAGCTGCATGCTGAAGTTTAGATATTTTTTTGGCTCTAATCTAACTATAAATTTGTATTGAAAGGTGCGATTTACTTGTGTGTCTTTTATACAATATTCAATATCATTTAATATTTACAGGACTTGAAAAATAAATGCGTTTTCGTCAAATGAATTTTTATCTATATCGCAAGACTTAAACAATTTTTCATTTCTTTATGATATTGAGATCTAATATTAATTAATATTAATTGAGTATAGATGATATTTGGGGGAAATAAAGCTCCCCTCTTCCTTCATATGCTTTAGTTGCATTTCGCCTTCCACATTTAATAGAGTATATCCCATAGTCTCCATGCCAATCAATATCTAATACCTTTTCGTGTTAAGCACGCGCATTCCTAACGACGTTTTACTCGACTGTATCACGATTGTTCACCTACACCTTCACTTCAATGTCCTGTTTTCAACGTGAAATTTAAGTCGTGGATTAAATTTAGAAAATAAACTGTTCCTGTTATAATGTTACATGGTTTCATAAAAACTGACATGAAGTCTGTTTGGTGTGTCACACTGTTGTTAACTTGCTTGATTACACTTGCTTGATTACACTTGTGGACAAGTGTGCCTCTCAATTTAGATACAATAAGAAACAAATGCTAGAAGAGGAGGTTCAAACAACGTGGTTTATTTCAAGGGACACCCCTTGGAGAATCCCTTTTATTGCTTGTACAAATGTGTCAACTGTACGCTTTTTGCTTTGTCTTTTAATCAATAAAGATTTGTGTTTTTCCCATTTCAGAGTTGAGATGATTTTATTTTGCTTATTTACATATCTGACTAGATCACGTATTATACCCGATAAATCATATGGAATATACATACAGTTGAACAGGAAATTCTTTTACGCATCATTCTATTGGTGTATATATTATACGGATTTTTTTAGTATTGATTTAGGTCAATTTCTGATAAACTAAAAGCAGATTTACGTTTCACATAGATACGAATTCAATAGACCTAAGAATAATACGAATATTTTTTATTAAGATACGCTAAAATCAATATCTGAAATTTCATCTTTTTCATATTTATTTGGAAATTATTTCTTTACACAGCACGCATTTACATCGATTGCGCAATAAGTTTTGCTCGTTAATCACGAACCCCGAGTACCCAATATTTCCGAATCATAATACTGGTGATAAGTGTTACAAACCTTCCGATTACTATATCCTATAGAATTCAAAACACCTTCTGACCTGAAAAAATCTAAGTGCAATTCATAGAGCATCATTTTTAATGCTGAAAACATTTTCCGTAAAGAAAAATAGAATGCCACTGAAATTACATCAACATTCCAATAGCATTTGAAAGATTTGGTATAAACATATTCTAAAGATGGAGGCCATCTTGAATTTCATTTTCACTTAAAACATAATAGATATTGATCAGAATCCTGTATTTATTATTTGCATAAATTTTCACCATATCCTGCTGCGAAAAGTGTAGGAATGACTGACACGGACAACTGACACTCGACTACAGATGTCCATAGGGATCGCTTATTTTAGTCTTCTGTTCAGTTGAACTAAATAAAAAGCATAGATCATCCTTATTTAACTGTTTTAATACATATGAATAGAAATTGATAGTAACGGGGGATACAATTAAGTTTTTCTTGATATAATTGGTTTATATTATGTTAAAAAAAAAAAAAACAGATACAGATAAGTTTAAATGCAACTGTTAACTGATACGAAATACTGTGGAACGCCGAACTGTAATGGACAAGGACACAAAGTAACTGGCCTACACGTATATACATCCTCTGTTGGCTGACTTGCTTTGTTTTTATTCGGGCTTATCGAAACCGTCCACAAAGACCTTGACTAGTTGTTTGATTTCACCTTCAAATATTGTGATGACGCCTTGCCTTGAAATAACAAGAAATGTATTCACTACGTCCATGGGTTAACTGGAAATAAGAGAAACGATCGCTCCCTACAACCTTCCACCAAGCTGTTTGATAAACGTGATGATTTCAATTTCCCTATTATGAATTTTCCATTTCTGAATAGTAATATCCCTGCATCTCCAACCTGTGGTATTTACATGCCAAAGTTGATTCGATATTCAAGGGCCTGTTTCCATCGTTACGTTTTTCGTGCAAGAAGTCGTCAACTTACTGACATACTCGTAACACAAAGGATCAAAAGATGAAAATTGATGAAAATTATGGAGTGGCTTTTTATGGTCGCCATAGTGATCTCATTGAGGGACATTATATTTCTTTATGTGACATGAAGCTGGATGTGTTTGATGCTCTTTAGTGTGCATGTTGGTTCTGTTGTATATCCTGTTCTCAGTTGAGAACGTGACATTACTCACTTGGAATGACCAAGATTTTAATAGTGATGAAGCAGCAGACACTTACTCTTCCGGAACACCTGGTATTAATCTCCTTGTACTTTTTTCAGGAGTCTCCTGTGTAAGTCTTTCTTTTATTCATATGTTACTATAAAGTATATTGAACAGTTCATGGGGGTTTCTGACTACCTATATACATATGCTGATACGTTCCAGTGGGCATCTGACTGCATATTGCACCTGGCACAGATTATTTTAAAGTTCATGAAGACTAACTAATAGAGTTCATTTTTAAGGTAATTGATATATTCCTTCTCTGCCAGGTTACAGCATATGGATTCGTTCCTGGGGATATTTGACTACCTATATAAAGTATTGAGTAATTGTCTCCTAAGAAAATATGTAAATTATCTGGCTGTGAAGAAATGTCTTCACGGAAGCCAAGTATGTAGTCGGAATTTCAACATATTTCTTGTAATAAACATGAACTAATAGAATAGCCGCCGTTATCCTTACGTAGTTCTATGTCGAATGTTTTATCTGGTGTGGGTTTCAGGAGAAAGCAATCCAAATTATTTCTAGTGTACGGGTCTCTAGGTGGCCTAAATACGCGTACTCTTCCGGAACACATTATTATATTTTGTAAGGGTCTATTGAACAATAGTGGTATCAGTAATGTAAGCATAAAGAATCTGAAGGAAAAGCGAAACAACAGATATGGCCTTTAAAATCACGAGGGAGACGTCCACTTTCATCTGTAGCTGTGTATTGTTTCATAAATCAAGGACTACTTGTCTGAATGATAGTACCAGAGTCGTCTACATTAGCTCGACACTCTATAAACAGTTCTAAAACGATGCAGGGAGTTTCATCTCGTGTCTGAAAAGAATACATTGCCATCATTGTTAAAAACAAATACCAAATACCATTATGTCAAAATTACGAAAACCCAAACTCAAAGTCATTTAAACAATGGCAAAATATTACCAAATATTTATACGGAAAAAGTTCAAGGAGAATAAGACCACGTGTTCTGATAAAGTAAGTGTTCATCATCGACACCCGCCATGTAAACCTAGGTCAATTCAAGTTAATAATAGTCCGTTCTCAATGAGAACAAGGTAAACTAAGCATTGTACTCAGAATGGATATGAAGTGTTAGAATCCGGAATATCACAGCCAGCTAGTACTTGGAGAACTTCACAAATCCACGGATTTCATCAGACACTGGGCAGCATATAAAAGGAAACGGACTAGCTCAAATTTTGATTGAATCTAGCATTGAGTCATGTAGGGGACTCGTACCAGGCTTGTTGTGTTAAATGGCAATTCAACCGGCATTCGATATCGGGACGACATTTTAAGACCAGTGGTTCTGCCATTCTTAAGACGCCATGGCGTTGGCGCCATTTTTCAACAGGATAACGCACCAGCACACACCAGTCGCGTCAGCAGAACTTTCTTGCGGTAGAATAACGTACAGGTGTTAGATTGGCCATCTAAATCACCTGATTTATCACCGATTGAGCATGTCTGGGACGTTCTTGGGCGACGCGTGAGAGAACGTCAAAATCAGCCGTCAAACTTGCAGGAGCTGGCACAAGCCTTGATCGCTAAATGGAACAACATCTCTCCTCGAATTATCCGCCGCTTTACGAGTTCCATGGTGTTACCTTTGAAATTGACCCCAATGTCCTTTACAGTCGAATAAAATCAACTGAACGCAAAGTTTTATAATGAACCATGACTGCAGTTTTATCAGAATTGATCAATTACTTTATTCGTACATGATTGGTAAGGATTTATGAAGGGGTTAATTAATTAATCACAGAATAAAGTAGTGTTACCTTTCTTTTTTTGTTTAATATATACAGTAAACCTCGGATAAGTCGAAGTCGATGGGACCAAGTAAAATATTCGACTTATCCGATGGTTCGACTCAACCGTGTTTTTGTCTATCGCCTGTAATCGAGACATCGTATATTTAAACTGACCCTATGTTCGCCGATCGTGTCCGATAGCAAGGTATTAATGAAAAGAACAGTTACTGTAACCATCATTGTCACAAACACGTGGATAATGCATACAAGATTGAACAAAAGACACACGCTACACTGGGTACTTCGTGAAAACAATACTTAAAAATATACACGTACACATATTGTACTCATATTTATAGTATTTGGATCGTTGAGACAAATATTCTCACAACAACTCACGGGCAAAAAGTAAACATGAGATGTTTTATTTCAATGGCTGTTTGATCGCACAGTTCTTGGTTAAAGGAGATAATTACCTGTGCTGACTGATCACACTCGTTACCGACCAGGAAAATTTACCTGAGACAACGTGGCGTCTGAATGTTCAACACAAACATGGAATTTTTTGTACGATTTAGAAGGGACGGACCACAAAATATATTCGACACAACCACAGTATTCGATTCAACTGTGTTCGATTCATCCGTGTTTAATTTACTGAGATAAAGAGGAGAAAAAATCGGGACCGAACGAAACGTTCGACTCATCCAATGTATTCGAGTCATGCGTGTTTGACACAAGTGAGTTTTACTGTATATTTTTTGTAACTATGAGAATCAGCGTTCCTGATTCTCATTAACGTCGGTCTCATAAGTATTACTGGGTTTGGTAGGAAATGTCCTTATTCTTTCGTTTCTGATAGATAATTTTACGTCAGTAATCGTTAAATTGCATTCACTGAGATTTTGCAACTTCGGCAAAATAAATGAAAATCGTGAACTTTATTGAACCAGATTGTCAACGCAGGGTTAGGGTTAGGGTTAGGGTTAGGATTAGGGTTCGTTAAAGTCTAAGATAATTTCTTTCGCGGTTTCATTCATATATATAACACATTACAATTTTAATCTATATGATGTGGCCAGAGATTTAAAAGCATATCCGGCTCCACTATGTATTCACGTAAAATAATATCGTTGTCTTCTGTCAATGATTCTTTTTTCTGTATAAACTCATTTGTGCTTGAACGAGAAACAAGCGACTCAATGATTACCAATAGAGCAAATTCACATACTATGAAGTTAAGATATGAAAGCTTACTCCACTTTAAGATATTTGAAAGCTAGCCCAACTTTCAACATATACAATTGAAAGATCATGGAAACTCTATGTAGACAGTCTTCCCTGGAACATAATTTAACACAACGTGAAGTAACGGAGATGTCTGTGATAACAAACAGTCATGAGTCTTGGTTGAAAATAAAAACTAACAAGCCGGGTTTTTTTTTAAAATCAATTCTTTATCCCAAATAAGCATGGTCACCAACAATAAACACTTTGCCTCTAACTTACTACAGTAGTAGTTATTTATCCATTTGTTTCATGGACCGTTCGTTAATCTAAGATAAAAATATTTCGGACAAATATCATGATCGAATAATCTAAATATAACACAGGACATCTTATCACTTTGTATCTGTTGTCATTTTTTGAACACCAAAATTAATCTCGCTGTCGAACAGATAATTAAACATTTTCAACACATCGATATTAATAGCAAATTGTAATTACATTAACCGACTAGTCATATAACGACAAGTATGATGTAACATCACTGTCGCGTATAAAATAGACGAAACAGCTGTATTATATATCATCACTAACTATTTCTAAATGGACGAAAATCTGTGTGTGATGATGTCAATGTTGAGTCAAATAAGGATGAAACTGTATGATGCAGTTCCATTCCTTATTAAGCTCTGCTCTAATTTTAAGTTGTTTCTTTGGGTCAATGGTTTGACTAAACGACTGCTTTATGATGGCAGCTAACAATGGTAACGTATTTTCCAACTCCGCATATTGCTTTTACTGCTATGCTATTTTAACATGAAAATTTTAAATCTTATCAGCGATTGTTTTGATTTATTGATTTTTTAATGATTGCATATTGATGTTGTTTCACGAACACAACAATCCTAACCTTCTAAATGGATAATTAAACGGTAGATTAAAAGACAATTATAACTTTCTCCATTGGACAGATGAAAAACAGAGAAGTGTACTTTATCTGCTTGCGTTTTTACATGTATCATTTTAGTGAGATGATAAAATGACAAGAGCATATAGACAATTGACATTTCAGTATTGAATATCAGTATTCTTAATCTGTTAATCATTGATATGTAAATTAACTGCAATGATCATACTGGTATGTTTTAACATTTGAACACAAATACTTTGAGTTGTGTACTGTATGGTAATGGGGGATAATGGGGCAAATACTGTGCATTCAAAATCATTATTTTATAGAAGATAAATACATATCTATCTAATGTTTTCACAACCGTAATGATAATAATAGTTATCAACACACTTACAAAAGACAATTAACTCAATATAGGCGTGATTTTTTTTTTTTTTTTTTTTTTTTGTGAAAAGTAAAGCTTCCTGTATATGTATGTTCGACGTGAGTGGATTTCCAGAAATTACTATCGCTTTTGAAAGATGATCATCATTTTGTAAAGCCTCATTCCGCTTAATCATTTATTTTTTTCTCCTCTTCTTGATCTTAGTTTCTTGATTGGTTTAGTCATCAGGTGTATATACTGCTTGTATGTTGATCTTAGGATTACGTGAAAGCGATGATCACATTCATTGCGATTACAGTCGAAAATTCAAACTCCTATATCAAGAAATAAAACAATATAATCCGCTTCTCTTGGCTCTGTAACGAACATAATATACATTCACTGTGTCAAACACTGTAAATCAACATGTTACAACAGCTCATAAACTTCATTAAAAACAATAAAGTACAATCATATCTTATTGCTTATTCTCGCTTCTAGTTTCGAGAGAAACCGAGAAAGTAATTATTTCTTTCGAAAATCAAATTTACAAAGGTCGTTTACATCGACCGGATCTTAAAATAGTCCGGGATTCATATACACTCCAGACTTGTTGTTATTTACATTAATTTTATGTAAAACATATCATCACCAGGTCACTAATATTTTGTTTTTTATGTAACACATATCATCACCAGGTCAGTAATATTTTGTTTTTTATTTTGACATTACCATGGTAGAGAGTTCCACACTGTTCTCATCAACTGACAGTTCCTATTTCAATCTTTAGAACTTCTATATCACCCGAATGTGCATTGTAAACGCATGTAAACTTGTACCAAAGTTATTCCATGTAGATTAATTGTTTTTAAATTAAAAAGAAACTTTACTTAGGGAAAAATAACAACAATTAGGTACTCAATCACAGTGAATAATTGGTATTTCAATCAAATGAAATCAAACTTCTAGCTCGTTTGATAAGTATGAAGAGGTATCAACGACCAGTTATAAATATATATTAAATGTAATAACATTGTTAATTACTACTCTCCATATCTAGTAACCCAGAGTAGCAGCGCCACTAAACACAACCAGCGCATATATAATTATCTTCGAAACGATATTCTTAGATTAACAAGGACCTTTGATAACTAAAGGATAGGATTTAGATGTTTTTCGAAAGGATGAATGTTTACACCAAGAGTTACTTCCCCTCACACGGTGAAGTTACATCGATTGTAAATCGTGGTGTATCAATCTAGTAATTGATTGTGTTATTATCCACATTGTGTTGATAAGCGTGGTTCAATATTTTACATAAGAAAAGAAATTAATAAAAATAAGTAGATTAAAAAATAAATAAAAACTTTTTGGTGAATATCAACGACTTCACCATTCTACAAAGTACAGTTGTTATTTTTTAAATAAAACGGTTGACTTCGTTTCGTCAGTACAAATGTGTGTTCGTTAAAACCTCCGAGAATTTTAAGACATAAAACCATACAATAGTGGGTGTGCATTGTGTGTGTTCACCATATGATCTGTTTATTGTGTTTGAATGCGACGAACGATACACAACTGAATTCCCGACTCCTTCATTCATATAGGAGAGCGTAGTAGTTTACAATGCAAGATGTCAGCAGATTATTAAAGGTTTTTGTGTATGTCATCGAGTTGCGCTTATCTGATATTCCTTGGTAACCTTTCGATGTTGTTGGGGTTTTTTTAGTTTATTTATTTGTTTTTGCTTGTCTGTTCAACTTTTATGTTTATTTATGATTTTTATAAAGCTTGCTACGTACACAAACATCAAAATATGACTCAACAACACATAATAAGTAAATGTCCATGTCAATTATTAGTTGTTAAAAAAGCAAAAAATCAATATTTTGTAAACACACTTGATTAGTGGTTACTGGCGAAGTATTGCTGTGTACCGCAAATACGTGCTATTAACTACGCTCTATTGAAGAGGAGTTACCACGATAGTGGGAAGAGTTATTTCTCTTCATTGAATCTCGTGTGCCGGAGTTAAAAAACTGAAATCTACGGTCTATTTACCGCGAGATCACGAGTGTCATAGTATACTGTAGCAGTGGAATTGGTGTATGAAAGACGAAAATAAAAACTTTCATTTTTTTTTTTCATCTTTTACAACTACTCTCATTATGAAAAAACTATTTCAAAGCAGTAAGAAGGTATAAACTAAGCTGAAAGAAGCACTTGATCGAATATTGGTCACTTCGTTGTTTTCTTTACTTGTTCGTTAATGAGGGGTTTAAAATTCACTTACAGAAATTCCTGCCAAAATAATATACACGTGAAGAAAGTGTAATAATATTAAACAGCACCAACCTGTAGTTTGATATTTGTCTCCATGCTCGAGTTGCAGATATGACAAAAAGACGTGTCTAAAATCGCCTCCATTTAAAAAGAATTCTCTGTCAAGATCAGTATTAATAGAGATGTACTTATCGATTGTTTTGGTAATTATCAACTTTAAAACAAATGTTGTCGAAATCGCACTCTGTTACGTTAGTGTTAAGTGTCTTTGAACAAGGTTCAGGCCGTCAATCATTACACCACTTCCCTGTTTTCATCCCATTGTCCGAATGTCATATCATTAACATGACTATAGTCAGGCCATCTCTTCCTTACTTTGAGTATGGTTTGCGAGAATGGATGCAGGTCCGGGTAAGTGTCATTATAGACTGGAATATCCTCTCTGCCGGCTGACTGTCGTAGGATCGGAAAGAGAAAGCTGAACAGGAAGTGAAGTCCGTGACTGCGTCACATGACTTCCTGTCATCCAGTAATTCTCGATACGTTCTTGCCATGCATTCTAGTAAATTAACCACGCAACAGGGCGAATAATCTGCAACATACAATATAAAAACGATGTTAATATTTGAGTCAAAACATCATTAAATTTCTAAAGATTCGATATAAAAAGACATTTAATTAATATGAAAAAACAAATCCTTGAAAGATATAAGCATTTGCTTACGTATTGCATATGTGCATGAGTTCCTGAAACAACAAGATGTATCGGGCTAGAACAAGGTATTAAAAGGAAAAGGAAATGAAAAGTAGGTGATATCAATCTACACTTCTATCAAGGAGATTTTTTGGTATCGCTATAGCTGTTCTAAAGTCCGTCGAATTACCTTGCATTATATTTATATTTATCTATTACCAATTCAACAAACACAAGGATTCAGGGTTCACTTACAGAACAGTTATCAACAACACAACACAAGAATAAGATATCACGGTCAGTTATGCGTGTAACACAGCCTAAACGATACACTTGTAAATGTAAATGGAACTAGTGATAAAAAAAAAATGCTTTCAATTTTTCCTTCGACTCTGCCAGAGATAAATAAAAATTTCACAGTCTGGTTCATAATCAAGAAAGTTAAAATTGCATTAAATCCTGTTCAAAATATTGTTCTTTCTAACGTTTATTCGACTTTTCTGGCAGTAAAACTGATTAGAATGAATTGACCATAACCGGGATCTAAAAACCACATTTGTCTGATTAAATATAAACAGTCACAATGCATATATTTACAGATTTGAACGAAGAATCAAGAATGAATTTCATTACCTAGGAGACTGAATATCTAGAGGAAAGTAAAACGCAAAGCACAAGCTAAAATATAACACAGCAATAAGACAGGAACACCATTATTTGTCCTGTACTGTAGTCAATGTTTGTCTGAGGTCATACTTAGTTTATTGTCTAAGGACTTTGGTAGAGCATGAGTCGACCTTCCACATGCATGATGCCCTGATATAGGTATCAAAGCCTTCACGTTATTGAGTATGATGTACGCTTGACGGGAAGCCACCAGGTCACATGCTTCTATCTTTTCCAATACGCATGTCTCCAGTTCCTGAAACATTGCAATCAGAATGAAATATCTGTATTTGTATCTTATTAACATGGAAAATGTTTAAAGTTTAAGGAGGAACCAACAAAATACACCAACTTGTGCCTTATCAAATTAGACTATGGTTGTTTTCAGAACATATTTAAAACAAAAAAACAAGAAAATAACAATATGGCAACATAATTATAATTCAAACTCGAATTCCATAAAACTAGTGCAAAATATGAACAAAAGAAAGATTTACACTGAGACCCCTGAAAAAGTACAAGGATAATAGTATCATGTGTTCCGGAAGAGTAATCATCTTTTGCTTCACCGACGACACCCGCCATTTAAGCATTAGTCAATCCAAGTAAGTTATATCACGTTTTCAAGCGATAGCAGGGTACATAACAACGGAACCAACAGGCAAACTCACACTGTCCATTTACAGCTTCTTACGGTCTTGTTGTTTGTATTTCGGTAAACTTGGCATTTCATAAAATTTGAAAGCTCAGTGTGCAGATACCACGGATTGATACTATCAAGAACAAGACGCCCTTCTCTGATTGCTTCCTCAATGGCGAGTCGTGTTTAACAATCTGAATATCACTGTGGCAAATTTTGTAATGCTCATTATTTTGGAATATTAAACGTTCTAGCTTTAGTTCATTCTAAGGTATAAAGTTGTCCCGGTACGGTGATTTCATTCTACAAAATTACAAACAAAAGGTGCTCATGAATAAGATCTTGAGCACAAGAACAGAGTGACAGCTTTATTATCTTCATTCATTTTTCTGTTTAGATCATTCCTATATAGTTTATGTGATATAATCGTTTTGCTGACAATCTATTTAGAGCCTCGTCATCAAGCTTTGAGAGTTCGCGATGATACCTGACGTAGAGGTCTGTCCAAGCTTCTTTAAAACACGAAAGAATCTGTGTGTAATATAGCAGTAAGGATTGGGTTTCATCCTTTCCTATCCAGGTTTTGATAATCTAATTAGGAAGGGTGCCAAAAACAACATAATACATGTGTAGATAAAAAAATACAGAGAAAAAAGAAAGATTTATGATCCCTTATCTTGCAAGAAGAAATGTAGCTTTTGGATCCTACGACCATGAAGTATAATGCAGACCCTTTTCCTGGGCTCGGCTTTCTGATATGCACTGAACAAAATATACCAGAGTAATTACCGACTAGTAAGGGATTCCCACAATAAGTCAATACTCACGACATACAGTGATATATAGCAAGCATATTCCTTCCAAACTGACCTCAGAGTTATTGTACTTTAGAACGCAACACATACAAACGCTGACAAAGATCGACTTAAGAAATATCATGATTTTCTGCATGATCTAATCATTGTATTAAGGATTATTTTTACCATTACATATATAGTCAAGGGAAATGTTTGATTAGATGTGGATCTCTGGACGACCAGTTTAAAGAAAAATGTGTATTTATTACTCCCAACAAAATCGACACAGGAATTGAAACCTAATAGGCATGAACATTGATATCGTCTAATCCATCCAAAGCAACCAATCACGAAGGCGAAAGAACAATTAGGGCTGGGAAGGCAGGATACTGAAGGAAGTCAATTACCGGTAGAATATTTAAATAAAATACATCTTAAGAAAAACAATTCGAAAATACAGAGATACGACAAAAGGCATACCAAGCACTAAACATAAGCTTATGTGTTCTGTGTCGTCAATCATACGTTGATTTCTTCATGGTTGAATTGTTTACGTGCATCATGTTAATAGCAAAACGATATGAAGCAAAAAAACAAACAAACAAACAAAAAACAAATCAAAGTCTGCTTATGTTGAAAATGGTTGAATTCACCTCAGAGGACGTGTTACCTAAGTTGACCTTCTTGGTATTCCTATGTAATAAAGTAAAAGTTCTATGTAATAAAGTAAACCAGCTACAGTCGGAATGTACGGAAAATTGAATCATCATTTGGCAGCTTCCGTGGAAATCAAATTAGAACTCATATAATTGTGCTCTCTTCTACGATCCCATACCGAGGGTTATCGATTTCTGAAATCAATCAGGTCTGCGATCGCCCGACGTATTAATAATTCATTGAATTACCGGTGTTTTCATCTACTCTCACTTGCAGCAAGTATACGGCATTACGATATAACGATATTACCGAGGGGATTCATGAGCTGAGGATGTTTTGATTGTGTCATATCACAGGAAATCCATTTTTATCTGTCTCGTTATACACACAACGACTGCTTTGATTTTGTCCTGTTGTTTACATTTTACATGCAGCTTTAGCGAAATAAAAGATAACGGCTTAAAAAGATTAAAAAGAATGTAAATTAATAAAAGATAACAGCTTAAAAACATTCAAAAGAATGTAAATTAATTTTTTCAAACGTTTCTGAGATATTTTTTTCAAAACATGTGTTCTGCTTCGCGGAAGTATTTTTATTGCACAATTAATGAAGAATTTGCATACATCTGTCAACAATGCATAGACTTGTCATACTCATAGAGGTGTGTTTGGTTTCAATGTTGTTGGAACAGCTTGGGTTATGTAACATTATCTCAAAACCTGGACACCTGACAACAAATCTACAAAGTTTACTATTTTGTATTTTTTTACTGTTCAGTCGAGTGGCGCATTCATAACGCACTCGCCATTAACCTAGTGGTCCAAGGTTCGATTCTTGGAATGGACGTGAAAAGGTATGGGGGTCACCTGCCCGACCACGTGGACTTGTCCTTGATCTCCGGTTTTCCTCCCAGAGTAAGACCCCCGCGCGCTTCAATCCGGGCCAACAAGAGTGAATAATATAAGCAAGCTTTAAGCTTGTCTCGCAATTGTTGTAAAATGAATAAAGTTTATTTATCTATTACAAACTGCGTCCCTCTATTGGCTGACTTGTTTTTGTTTTCATACGAGGCAAACTTTATTGAAGAGTTTATCGATTCAGTCACAAAGACCTTGCAAAGTCGTTTAATTTCATCTTCAGATATATTGATAACGTCTTGTCTTTAAAATTCATTGACTACGTCCATCGTTTATATTCACAAGAACTTGAAACAAAGATACGACAGACTCTTCTACATCAGCTTCTTATCTCGATCACTCCCTACAACGAAATCAACATGACCAGCTTTCCATCAAACTGTATAATAAACGTGATGATTTCAATGTCCCTTTTGTGAATTTTCCATTTCTAGATAGTAGTATACCTGCATCTCCAACCTATGGTGTCTACATGTCACAGTTGATTCGATATTCAAGAGCCTGTTCCTATTATCACGAATCTCGTGCAAGAAGTAGTCAACTGCCTGACAAACTTGTAACACAAGGGTTCAAAAGATGAAGATTGATGAAAGTTATGGGGAAGTGTTATGGTCGCCATAATGAGAAATACTCCATTTCTGTGAGTGACATGAAGCTGGACATATTTCATACTCATTAGTTTGCCTGTTGCTTCCGTTGTTTTCATTTGAGAACGTGTCATTACTTACTTGGATTGACTAAGATTTACATGGCTGATGTCGTTGATGAAGAAGACGGAGCTAATTTTGGAACACCTGGTCTTATTCCCCTTGTACTTTTTTTTACGTAGTTCTGTTTAAATCTTTCTTTTGTCTATATTTTGCCCTAGTTTTATGGAATTTGAGTTTGAATTTTGTTGCCATATTAGTATTTTCTTAGTGTTTTTTTTTAAAAGAGAGGATAGATTGACGATATACTGCACACCAACACAGGAAATAACTTCAAGGTCAAATATAGTTGAAGAAAACCTACAAAACAAGCGGAAAAGTAAAAGATCACATCCAAATACATATCAAGTTGTAAATTAAAACAAAAGTGACATTGAATAAGAATCTTGTGGAACAAACCAACAACTCTGGGATCATTTACTTATCTAATTTAAAAAAAAAAAAATAGATGAAAGTAAAGACATTCAGTCGGTCATATTGTTCTGACATCCGACTTTCAAGGTCTTGTCGCTAGCTCATGTTATGCATCAGTCAGGTAAAATGAAAATAAAGTGATATATTTTCAGACATACCTGCTATGTATATATTCTAAATAGTAACCCACACCCCGTTTAGAATACGTATAATTATGTGTTTCCATAGCGGATGGTTAAAATAGTGGGTGAGACTTTGTAACATCCCATAACGGTCATTCCAGGAGAGTGAAAAGAATCCAATTACGAAATGTTTTCGACTGTTATTACGAAGTGTTGCTTTGCATGTTCATTTTCAAGACATTCATCAAAACTCTTTTCATTCATGCAATGATGGAGATATTACGGTATTGAAAGTCAGAATGAGGGAAATACTTATATGCCTTGTGTAAAGGCCAACGTGACAAATGCTGTAGTTTTCAGGTTTGGAGCAATAAGGTCAAACGTGAAGCAATCTCCATCGAACCATTACATCAAAAATTGTAAATAGCAAAATATACAAGACGAAAATCGAAAGCCAAATGCTTTAGTGTTATATAATGTAAGTTGTGAATGTTAAAAAGAGTAATCTTAGATGTGGTCTATACTTAGCCGATCACTCGAAGTCCTGATTTCACAGTCTTTGTTGTACCAAGATCCAACTCCTCCACCAATGACGTAATAGTCAATATGTTAATGATTCAATTAAGGCTCATAAGCCGTTCCAAATCTAATTTAACGTCTTTAATTAAAACATTTCCTCAAGCAGCGAAACTGAGATTTTTTGTGTTTTCCTTTAATCAAGCAAGTATTAGAAATAGTTCAGGAATCTCCACCAGTGCCCATCACTCCCTAACATTTACAACGTTCCTGTTTAGATTTCTTTGATGTTTCAGTTAGACATTAATTACCTCTGATAACCACAAGGAAAATGTAATGTTCCCGTACGAGGCCTCGAAAAACGTTAATGTTTTCAGAATACGCAGCCAGTGGTAGGCACTGCAGGTACGCCATAATCTGCGTGGTACGGTATAATTCACTCGAATAGTGGCACGGTTCTGAATATACACATAATTGGTGATGTT